CAACATCATGAGGAGTCGTCATCTCCGTCTTCCCTCGTATTTTTGATCCTCCACCTCCTCCCATTGTTAGTCATGGAAGGTGGTGAAAAAAAGGAGGTTGGTGAAGGAAACTTCACAAGTCAAGAATGGGAGATTGGTGAAAGGAGTCAAAAATGGAGGTTGATTTTGTTTCAACAATTTTGGCTCACTCATTCACACTTCACCAACTCCTCCTCCAATGTACTATAAATACATGAACTCCTCATCATAATTAATCATTCCAAGATCATCCCAACATCCCAAAACCAAAAACAAAGAAGAAGTGAGTGTGGGAGAGAAAGAAAGTGAGAGAAAAAATATTTTTTCTTTGTGAAAGAGAGTTGTTCTCTTTGAGTGTAATTGGGTTTGGGTGAGTGAGTTGAGAGCTTTGTAATTTCGTCAGAATTACTGTTCACGTTGGAGTTACTGTTCACGTCGGAGTTACTGTTCACGACGGATAATATTTTCGGTTAATAAGAAAAGATCTGCAGCAGGTCCGGAGACGTAAACAACATTGGCCGAACTCCGTTAACAAATTGTGTGTATTTTTATCGTTCCCACAAATATGATTTATCGGAAATTTGACGTTATTTCCTAACAACTGGTATCAGAGAGTTCGGGTTATTTTTCGTCAAATTTGGTGCGAGTTTACTATTCACGTGAATAGTGAATCCGTGAATAGTAAAACTTGTCGACGATATTGGTTCGTCGACGGAAGTGTTCTTATACACGGTGGTTCATAAAAATCAGAAACGATGGGAGGCGCAGATGGTTCGGCACATAGTATCGGNAAATTTGACGGTACAGATTATGCATTTTGGAGAATGCAAATTGAAGATTATCTGTACGGAAGGAAGCTCNATCAACCACTGAGCGAGAAGCCTGAAAAGATGGATAAGGAAGAATGGGATCTTCTCGACAGACAAGTTCTGGGTGTTATTAGATTAACATTGTCGAAAAACGTTGCTCACAACGTTGCGAAGGAGAAGACCACGGAAGCACTCATGAAAGTTCTTTCGGATATGTATGAGAAACCTTCTGCCAACAATAAGNTATTTCTCATGAAGAAGCTCTTCCAATTGAAGATGGAAGATGGTAGTCTTGTAGCAGCGCACGTGAATGAGTTCAACACGATTGTCAACCAACTGTCATCGGTTGAAATCGAGTTTGATGATGAAGTATGTGCGTTAATTTTGCTTGCATCTCTGCCAAATAGTTGGGAGCCTATGAGGGCTGCGGTTAGTAATTCTGTGGGTACTCAGAAGTTAAAATTCAATGATGTTCAAGATCGTATTCTTGTTGAAGAAGTTCGTAAGATAGACTCTGGCGAAACATCTCTGCTTTCAACGTGGAAAACAGAGGCAGAGACCATAACAGAATAAACCAAAACAGAGGCAGATCAAAGTCAAGGAATGGAAGGGGTCAATCCAAGTTCAGAAAGCCTGTTGAGTGTTGGAACCGTGGAAAGACCGGCCACTTCAAAAGTAATTGTTGGGCACCACCAAAGAAGGAAAATAACAAAGGAGGCGGAGCCAATGCAGTCGCACATGGAATAACTGATGCATTGTTAGTATCAGTTGATTACCCAAGAAAAGGTGAAATTCATGATGCAGCTGTAAACACCACCAAAGCATCGATCTCCTATGTTGATAGTCCGATCGATTCTTGGGTTCTTGATTNANGAGCTTCATTCCACACCACACCAGACCACAACATTATGGAGAATTATGTTACGGGAATTATGGGAAGGTATACCTAGCTAATGGCGTACCTTTGGACATAGTTGGTATCGGAGATATCAACTTGAAGATGTCAGATGGACTCGTGTGGAAGATCACAAAGGTTAGACATGTGCCAAAGTTGATGTGAAATCTGATCTCGGTAGGATAACTTGATGATACGGGGCACAATGTCAACTTTGGTGATGGAGCCTGGAGAGTGAAGAAAGGTTCCATGGTGGTTGCTAGAGGTCATAAAAGAGGCACTCTTTATATGACGATGAGTTATCAAGATACAGTTGC